TATATATTGGCTTCACGTAACAACTGACACTATTGCACCACTATCCCGTGCCGCAGGGATATGAGTGTCAGTTGTTTATACTCCGCTTACACCAAGTCTTACTCTTAATATTCCAATTTAAGCACTAGCTTAAATTGGACGACTTCAACTACTACTACTGAAAATTCACAAAATTGTCCATGTTTCCCCCAGTAACAAGAAGAAGAATGGTGCCATGAGAAGTGTTGCGTGTGTGCTAAGCATAAGATTAGAAAAGAAACAAGTATCATGTGTGCAGGCTATGGTGTGGCTCTCTGCAAACTTTCATGTTTCAGTGTTTATCACACGAAGAAAAACTAATAAAGAGGTATGGAAAGGCATTTATTGCATAAAATATTGTATTTTAATTAGTTCCTGAAAATTTCGTTTTTAAAAACCAATTTTTGTTGAAGTTGTTTAGGAAAAAGTAACTACGTGCATTTTAGCGACATAAGGTTTAAAGGGCCTGCCAGGACAGGGGTGGGATTTAAATACCCTTCGCGCCAGTCAAAGAGTTAAACTGTTTCCAATTTATGATACATCCACTCCCCCATATATCTTCATGGTGTAGTGCTTAATTAGTTGAGCACAAGGACAACTTTACCTTTACTTTACCTTTATCCTGGCCACACCATAGCTCAAGCGGTTAGTCGATGGCTTCCCACCGCGGTGGCCCGGGTTTGATCCTGGGTCTGGTCAAGTGGAATTTGTGATGGACAAAGTGGCGCTGGGGCGGGTTTTCTCCGAGTACTTCGGTTTCCCCTGCCAATCTTCATTCCACCAAATTCTCCATCATTATAATCACCTGGGGCAGGCTACAATAGGCCAATCAGTGGCCGCCGTGCCGTGTTGACCCATTTGGACTCCACCCCCACTAAGCAAATTTTTTTTACCTTTATCCCCCTATGGTTGTAAACTGTTTCCAATATATGGTACATCCACTCCCCCATACATCTTCATGCTGTTGTGCTTAATTAATTAATCACAAGGACAACTTTACCTTCACCTTCACCTTACCTTCATCCCCCTAAGGTTGAGCTGTAATTCTGGGGCAGTCACAATGATATATAATGGTACAGGTCAATGTCTATAACTCTGTCAGTCTTGGAGGAAATATGAGGACCTCATTGGCTTGAAACTACATTGCCTTTCAACCCAAAATACTGCACTGTTCATAGTCACTGCAATTAATTTTCGTAGTATGAAAGTGAAGTTGCCTCCTTTTCTTGATTGTGATGTTGTTTGTACAATAGCAAATCTGTTTTGGTGTAGCATGAATTGATAAAGAATGTTGTGTACAATGAACTGCTGCAATGTGAGTTACAAATAAACATGACAATTTCAGTAGGATTTGAGGTTCCCACAGTGGTGATTTTAAAATTATAACTCTGTATGACATTTCAGGTTTACTGTATTGCAGTGAACGTAGAGACAACCCCCATCTAGCTAGTGCTAGTAATGTTCCCACCTCATGACTCAAGGTACGCGGGTTCAAACCTGGCGGAGGTCGTGGAATTTTTAAGGGCGGAAAAATTCAGGGAACAAGTCCTCCGGGAGGAACTTTAAGCCATGGGTCCCGTGTCGTAGGTTTACAGCATGTAAAAGATCCTAATGTCTCTAGGAGACCTCTGAGCAAAATTAGGCAACAATTTCCTGCCCAAGTAGTTTCCAATGCCTCTGGTATATGGGGAAAATATCAGGTACCGACGGCCGACCTCGTTGGCTGAACGGGGCTGATAGCGGGCACCAGTACCGGTAGGGTATGGGGACAGTAGAAATTAAAGGGGGACGCACATTGGACCAATAACTGGTCTAAGTGCATGGGGAAACCAACCCCCTCTAATAATGATGATTGATGATGATGATGATGATAGCTACAACTGTAGACGAATGGCTCTATTATCTTTTGGCTGATGGATATAGGCACTTGCATTTGTGCATGGGCATTGTTGTATTATTAAATATGTTGAAGCTATTGAAATGCTGTCCTTATGTGATACAGACAGTTTACCACTTGCAGGTTGGAGATCTTGAAGTATTGAAAGCAATTACTCTAGCTTTTTGTAAAGATAGGAAGACTCCGCTGCTGATAGGGTCAGTCAAGTCAAACACAGGACACACTGAAGGGGCATCAGGTCTTTGTGGTGTCATCAAAGTCATCATTGGCATGGAGACTGGCTTCATACCCCCAAATCTCCACTACAACAACCCCAGAGAGGGAGTTGAGTCACTTATGAACGGACAGCTGAAGGTGAATATTGATATCACAGCACACTGAGTTTAAAAGCTTGTAATATTCTGATATTGTCACTTCATTCTTTTAACCATTCCATTGTTATGGATGCAGTGGTAGTGGCATACTCAGGCATGTGCTGTGCTGCATATGTAAGGACATGTGTAACATTGACTTTGAGTTTGAGGAGTTATGCAAAGCACTTACAACACTTGCTTCTTAATATTTCCAGGTATGATCTTACATACTATTGACATGCTTGTAATGCTTTGAAATATATTTTGTTGCTAGTTAAATTTACTTTGCTCCTGAGCATTTAAGTAAAGCTGTAGCCTTGTGTTCAGGAAGTGCTGTTTCTTCTACAGAAGCTTAGACATTGGAATTTCAGAGAATATTAGGCTGCCCCGTGCCGTACGCTCCCTGGTTCAGTGTAGCCCCAGTCTATTTGCATGCATTCTCACTTCTGTAATTTTGAGTAGTTGCAATTAGCTCATTTGTGCTTCATTGTAGGAAGTATATATTTGTAGTCTGCTAAGCAGGCAGAGGCTAATAAGTTCCATTTACCACAACCAAGCACAAGTGTTGCTTGTCATAGGTGGTGACTAAGAAGGTTCCATGGACTGGTGACCTCGCGGGTGTCAGCTCCCTTGGATTTGGAGGAGCAAATAGCCATGTTATATTACAGAGGAATCTGAAAATAAAAGTGAATGGTGGTGCCCCTGCTGATTCTGTTCCACGCCTTGTTGCATCTGGACGTACAGAGGAGGCAGTTGATGTCATTCTGAAGGATGTAAGCTTGTTTCATTTGCAGCATCATGTTTTGTACAGCAAAATTTTGGAACTTGCTATCTATAGTATCTAACTGCATGAAGCAGAATCCTTCTTTAGAAGCTAATGCTGTATACCAGTGGTTCTGAAACTGTGGGGCGCGACCCCCAGGAGGGGGGCGAAGGGCTTGAAAAGGGGGTGCAGCATACTTTCCTACAGATAAAAATTAAAACTGTCCTAAATCAATTAGAAAAGTAACAAAAATAAAAATACATATAGAAAAGCTTTTGATGACTACAGGCTTTAATTATCATGAATTTTAAAATAACTAATAATTATTCTCTTTACCAGCAATTATAAAACGCGTATGCCAGAGACAACGTTGATAGTTCGGCAGCAGCCGCATCCTCTTCCAGGCAGCACTGTACATGTGCAGCTGAAAGCAGCGACTTATGTTATCTCATTGGCGCCTGTTGGGCAGGGAGAAGGCAGTTTGTCGCCAGACTCAGTGGTGATCGATGGGTATGCCTGTTTGATATTGTGTTCTTATGCGTTCAGTGTTTCAGTGCAGTTGTGCTGATTTGTTTACCTCTTGAAGTTGACTTGATTATGAACAATTGATCATGAAGCGTTTCCTGATTAGTGATAGTAATGAAGACACCAGTGCTCCTTCAAGTAGTGGTAAGAAAGAAGCTACTCGGAGTGTGAAAACAAGAAGGTATGATGAGAACTATTTATCGCTAGGCTTTACGAAAGCTGTGATCAATGATGAAGAAAGTCTGCAATGTGTAGTCTGTCTAAGTATTTTAGCTGCAGATATTATGAAACCTAATAAATTAAAGAGACATCTTGAAACCAAACATCCGAAGTTTACAAATAAACCAAAAGATTTTCTCTAAGAAAGCTTAGTGGTTTAAAGTCCACCCAACAGAAATTTTCTAAAACAACAAATGTGACTTCTAAGGCACTTTTAGCCTCTTACCAGGTTTCTCATAAAATTGCTAAATGCAAGAAACCACACACAATTGCAGAAACACTGATTTCACCAGCAGCGACTGACATAGTATCAACAATGTTCAGTGACTCTTCTGTTCAACAATTGAAAAATATCCCCCTCTCTAATGACTCAGTTTGTAGAAGAATTTCAGACATGCGTGATGATTTATGTCAGCATTTAATTGAGAAGTTGCATAACAAGTGCTTTGCACTTCAAGTAGACGAAGCGACTGATATTCATAAAGATGCTCATTTGATTGTGTACGTTCGTTTTTTGATGAGTGTAATATGCGAGAGGAATTGTTTTTCTGTGAGCCTATCTTGAAAACAGCAACAGCTCAAAGCCTTTTCGACATGATTAATGCCTTTTTTAATGAAAATGGGATATC